CCCCAAAACCCCAAAACCCCAAAACCCCAAAACCCCGTATTGCCAATATGAAAATTATTGAGAGTGCTGATATAATTAGAATTTGAATAATTTAAAATTTATAAAATGAGTGATAACTCAACATCCCAAGGAGAAATTAAGTATGTTGCCATCTCCAGAGTTAATGATGCTTAAATGCTACTCTTTATTAAATCTGCTAATACAAAGAATGCTTATGCTGATGAGGTAAGTAATTGCTACTCTTATTACTTTGAAGGGAAATATTTAATAGATTGAAAAAAATATGACTTAATAATCAAGTTATAAATAAAATGTTATAGTACAGAAAAGAAGTATAGGATATAGTAAATAATCTAAGTTAAACACCAACTTATGCTGAGCTAAGAGAGAATTAAGACTCTCCATACGGTATCTGGTATATATATTGCGACTCTAATCTCTTTGTATATACGGGTAAGTAAAAATTGAGAGCTATATAGACAAGCCTTTTTTTCTGACATCATTTAATTCTGTTTAGTTGATTTTTACCCTTTCTTTTTTGAGAAATGAGGTTTTTAAGTAATTGTTTATAGTGTTGACAGATACTGACTTTAAGTATTCAAATGCATTCACATTCTTGAAGGAATGCGCTAAAGAGGTTCAAGCTTCAATTCCTAGACTATAGCATGATATTGAAAATACTCCTAATCTGAATATATGCAGGGATGCAATAGCCAACCTTATGGTGACACATCAAGATTAAAGGAAGAATGATAAATTAGCTAAAGCCTAGGATGTTGTTAGTTAAGCTACAAGAGCAATGCAAGAAAATGTTAAAAACATGATTAATAATTAAGGAACCTTTTCTGTAAGTTGAAGAATATTTTCACAGAATTACTTTAAACTTATAATCATGCTATAGGAATTGGAGGATAAAAGTAATAACATCAAAGACACTGCTTTTAAAATGAAAAATAATGCCTAGGCTTTGGAGAGAGAAGCAAGAAAGAGAAATTGCAGATTATGGGCTATCATTATTTGTTTAATTGTCTCTGCACTCATCTATATTATTGTTCCTCTAGCTACTTCTACTTGATTATTGATCTAGAATAGAAATAAGGTTTATAAATTTAAATATGATAGATATTTTTCATTTCTTTTTAACTTTCTAACCTATGTCTCAAAATATATTCTTTTTGGGGTTTTGGGGTTTTGGGG